GGAACATTATTTTCGAACTCCTATCACGCAAAAGTCATTTCTTGCAGATTCTATCGATATTTTAAATGCTCATGAAATGTTCCGCAGAATCTTAGAATTCTGATTTATGATTTATTTTAAACCAAAAATGGGACGGCCAGTAACAAAAACAGCAACAACAACTATAATCACTGCTATTACAACTACAACAACAACAACACCAATTACACCAGCTACAACAACCACGACACCAATTACACCAGCCACAACAACTACAACAACTATTACCATTGCTATTACAACTACAACAGCTACAATTACAGAGGCAACAACAACAGCAATTGCAACTACTGATACAATTACAACAACCACACCCACACCCTCAGTTCATAGAACTACAGAAAAAAGTCGGGATCTTTTGAGAAAAATCGTCTAGAAATTTCAACATCTTGCAGCTTTAAAATAGTTTTGTTCTGGTTTCGCCACTTGCTATATAACATCAACTGTTTTTATGTATGCTTGAGAAGAATGAAAAAAAGAAATTCTTTAAAAAGTTGTTGAGACCTTAATTAACAAAAAAATGGCAAAAATCGGCGGAATACTGATACCACCTGTTAACCTGGGCTATCCATTAAAAAAAGTATACCGGCTAATCAAACTGTAGGAGATCGGCAAAGACAATATAGTCAGATGCGTCTTTCGATTGTTCATGATTGCTCAGTCTTCAGAAGATCTCCATCTGGAAATAGTTCAGTGTTAAAAATCATGGCTTCACCACTGTATACGTTTATGTTTTCAAAAATCAACACTCAACTTTTTTTCTAATGAAGTCAACATTTACTCCATGCTTTACATTATACATTTTAGATATTAAGATTACAACTTTGATTCCAAAGTTTCTGACGATAGATAATCGTACGTGTCGCAAGAAATGTCAACGGAGATATTATATGAAAAAGAGCTGCATACAATCGAGAAGCCGTAAGTTTGTCAAAGCGTTTTTCGCCGACATTACAACTAATATACTACTTGGCTACTGATCATAAGAAAAGATTTGCAAGTGTGAAGTATCTTTTTGGGCGGGCACTATAGTTATTAAATCAGTCACAGTCAGTTGTATAATGCAGTAACTTTGATTGAAAGCCAGGGCCTTTGAAGTCGAATTATGAACATTATTTTGATCAAGTCTCGACCTGTTCTAAAGCTTTTCTGAATGAAATCGTATACCGTGTTTTCAGTCTGAATTTTTGCACTCGCAAAGGTCTCAATGTTACTAGGTTTTATTGCAAAATTCATTTAGAACGAATGCTTCTTCGAAATATTGGTTTTTCAAGCAAACCAAGTATTTTCAATTTATCTTGTAAAATATGAATTCTTAAAGAACTTAATATCTCGAGATGGAAGAATGTTTTTTGGGGCATTCTAGTAACTAAAAAAATCCACAGGTTAAAACCAAGTTAAGGAATTTCACCACTTGCTATGAACAATCAAATGATCATAGTCGAAATCAAAAAATTATTTTCTACTTGATGATCTTACTTCGTCAGCCAAAAATTAATGCTGCTTCCGCTTTCTATTATCCAGAAATGAATAATGCACTTTTCTGTGTTTTTGTTTCAGAAAAACGCATACTGAACGGATCTTCTTGGGCATTGGAGTGCTCATTCGTCAACTCTTGCTTGGAATTCTCGTTGTGATCATTTGTTTATTAGCCTTTGCAATTCTTAAAAACTGGAATGCTAGCGCTATGGCGGACTACAGCACAGGTTAGTTGACTCTCTCTTTCAGCTAAACGGTAGATCATGTTGTTTGTTGAGCCATTGTTGTGAAAGGTTCAGAAATAGAATGAGAGGATATAAATAATGGGAAATTCAGTTTTTCGCTAACAGAAACACATAGTAAAGGACGCCTGATCAGACAAGTACACCATGAGTGCTTTTAATCAAGTGTGCATTGAAGACGGTTAAAAGCGTTGAGCTTGTTTAGAAGGAATTTTCATTGTCTCGAATCTATTTTTTCATTTTTCGTTCGATAATAGTTAGTTATTAAGAAAAAGCTTATCTTGCATCCAAATTATGATAATGATCATCTTTTAATGGTGCTTCGAGCAGAGAAAACTTTGATATTTAGAAAAAAGCACAATATTCATAATTCAGTTTTTTTCAGTTCTCTATAAAGTTTTGAAAAAAAAACACAATCAATACAGAAAGAGGTTATGCATGAAGACTCAAAATTTCAATCCATTATAGCGCTCGACAAAAGCCGTTCAACTATTTTCCAATGGACTGATTGGAATCATATTATCCCAGGTAGTCAGAATTTAGGTATAACGAACAACTATTTCAAGAAGAGCGTAACTTTCTATTGACTCCTTTGTTAGATAATTTAGACATGATTATGCCTATTAGTTCATTGTACAAGTCTCTTCTCGAACTCTTTGTATAGAGTTCTAAAACGTAAGGCAATGCTATTTTGAAACACGCTGACATAGATTCAGTAAGCATTCATGAGTCGATTGTTTGAATATTTAAGGGCGATTGTAGCTTTATTTCATGAGTGTTCTATTAACCGCCTGATATACGAAAATTCATATTCAACGATCAAGAAAATTGTCTAACTTAAGTTGCAGGCTGAATTGAACGAAGTTCCCTAATGTTTTAAAAAGAGTAATGGAAAAGATGCTGCTCATATTGTTCTTTGCTGTTTGTGCTTAGGTCGAACGATGAAAGATATAAACTATGTTTCATGAAGTCCTTACTAAGAAAGAATCATTTTGCAACGAGACTCCTACCGATAATGTTAGAGAACAAAAAAAATGTGAAAATATGATATTTGCAGTTGGAACGACCTATAAACTTAACAACAGAAAATCGGCAGTTAAGACGTTTTTTCTCACACTGCATCGTTGGAACATGCAGACATTTTCTCTCAAGTTGAAAGTCTTAAATTTGTTTTCAACGATTATTGCCAGATCACTCTATTTCGCTCACCAGACATTTTATAGAAGTTCTTATGTGTAGTATAACTGAAAGAAGTTCATGAGATGGCAATAATTCAACAAACATGCACAGTCTGACGATGTACAAGGCGAAAAGTCGAGTTCAACCTTTATCTTAGTCTTCTGCCTGACCGGGTCTTATTCGACTCGATTATGATAGTTGATAGACAATGTTCCTTGAAAAATATAAGACCGTTGTAGGTGTACGACTTCTTTTCCAGCCCCGTCCTCATTTATATCCACACCCGAACAAGTATAAGTTTTATTCATTTTACAAAGAACTCTAAGAATAGCTTAGACTAATGCCTGATCGAAATCTTGGTATGCGATTTGGAAAATCTACCATATCGAATGTTTAAAATCTCATTATAGGTTATATGTCATCGTATCTAGTGGACTTAGTGCTCGATACTTCAGCAAGTTCAACATTCGTAGTTAGAGGTGTGAGCCGACACCTCGATCGGCGGCGGCTGAAGAATTTTTTCTCAATTTTTTCGTGTGTCGTCGGCGGTGAACTACGAAAGTCTCAGGCTTCAGCGACGGCGACTGGAAATATTCAACTATTTTTCTGACTTTCGGCGGCGGCGACTGAAAATTTGCGACCCGTGTTTTAAACATTTTTTCATAATCGAGAAATTTTGAAAGGGAAAATAGAGAAAATGATGGTAGAAAGCTTGCTGCTAAGAAACTAGACGAGAACATCCTCAAAAATTAATCTTGAGGGTGGAAAATTCTAAAAAATCAATAATCTATTTTCGTGTTTCGGCGGCGGCGGCAGAGAACGTTTCCAAAAAATCGGCGGCGGTGGCGGCTCAGCCACTCGGCTTACACCTCTATTCGTAGTGCAGATTAGTTTTAATATGTATTATTCGATAAAATAGAATTAGATCCAAAATTGAGATTAGTCAGATTTGTCCTTCAGAAGCACAGCTAAATGCAATCTTGAAAGGTTGAACATTGCGGAATCAGTTCCGCCCCCGGAATCACTTCCATCCAATTCCGGGAACTCCATCATCATTCAACATAAGAGACCTAATCGACATTGATCGAATTCCGCCGATTCCCGAAATTCCGGGAACTAAGTTCAGAAGGAGTTACTCGAAATTTAAAGGAATTCCGAGCAATTCCGGAATTGGAAACAGTTCCCGGAATTCCGGAATCGGAAGGAATTCCTGGGAATTTCCAGCAATTCCTGAATTGGAAGGGGTTCCCGGAATTCCAATGAATTCCATTTCAATCGAATTCCCTGAATTCCTGTAATTGCCGGAACTCGATTAATGTTGACTGGGTCTGCGCTGTAGCACGCTGATCGAGTTCCCGGAATTGGAGGGAATTGATTCCGGGTGCGGAACTGATTCCGTAATGTTCAACATCGCGGAATAGGATGTATTCTCGCATTTTGATAAATATTTTCAAAATTATTTTGTGCCACTAAGAAAAAATATATATTCGAATAAAAGTTGATACAAGAAATGATAAATATGGGCAGTGATCGGAATATAGTTTTCGGAGGAAGTGCCTAGAACTAGGCGATTTTCACATGAGTTTCTTGAAATAATTGAATATTTCAACAGTACTGAGATGTCTTTTAGCAAGTGAATTGTGTGAATTTTCATCAGTATCTTGCCTCGACAATACTTGAGACCGTTACACCAATCTGACGCTATCAGTTGAACAGCTTCGACTGTTTATTACGTGTTATGACTCATATGTACGAAAATTTGCCACTTGTTATATTATTTACCCCATCTTTTTTTTGTTGTGTACCTTCAGATATTCTATTTCGCATGACAACTTAAAATGCATCAGTAACTAAGTAATATATCGAACTAACATTGGAAATATCCGGATGTTCTAATTTCTATATCAAAGATGGATGAAAGTACTCACGTTGATATCTTTTAAACTGCTGAGTAGTCACCAAGTATTTTGCGAAAATGAGAAAGACATAGTGCTGATCCCTGACGAAAAAGATAGAAAAGTGTTGTTCCCATATATCATCCAGCTTGGTTCACGTTGTTCAATTGGCATATTTTTTTCACCATAGAATGCAAAAAACTATCCATACATTTGTCAGAACCAGAACTAAGAACTAAACAGCATAAATCAATGATGGATCGAATTTTTCTTGACCGGCCCGATTTATTGCTGAACATTGTATATCACTAGTACCATAAGAAGCTGAGCCAGAAAATATCGTCAGGGTCGTTTTCGCCTGTAAATGTAGTCTGATGTCCGCAAGCGAATAGAGTAAGAAACTCAAAGTCTGATATACTCTAGTAAGAAAGCATCTTTATTGAATTTTATTTGACGTTCGTGAATCGACTCTTTCTGTACATTTCGAGTATCTTCGGGCAAATTTTTCAGATAATGACTGACTCAGTTTTTGCAAAACAAATGCTCTAATAAACGACTGCCTATTGTGATCATTTATTTCATATTGTAGAATCTGACGAAATAACGCAAATTTTTTCCTCAAACTGGATGCCAGACAAAAATCAGAGTATCAAGGTCATCAATACTGACGAAATTGCTCGAAAAGTAATCATATTTCATATAGTTATTATGTGTGTCTAAACTAGTTAAATTGCACGAAATTCTAGTTAGAAGTTGTGTATGGTATCAAATCAGGCTCCATCGATATCAGTACTATTGTGATCAATAATGGTGAAATAGATGTCGATAATCATCACCGTCGCCTTNACTACAACAACAGCAACAACTACAAAAACAACAAATACTACAACAACAGCAACAACTACAAAAACAACAAATACTACAACAACAGCAACAACTACAAAAACAACAACAGCAACAACAACAACAGAAACAACCACAACAACGACAACAACAACAACAACAACCACAACAATGACAACAACAACAACAGAAACAACTACAACCACAACTACAACAGAAACAACAACCACAACCACAACAACAACAACAACAGAAACAACCACAACAACGACAACAACAACAACCACAACCACAACAATGACAACAACAACAACAACAACAACAGAAACAACAACAACAACAACAACAACAACTACAACAACAACAACAACAACAACAACAACAACAACAACAACAGCTACAACACCTAGAACGTCGACTACTACTATCAGTAAGTAATAGGCTAAATAGCTAAATACTACTTTCTACATCGGTTGAATAAAGGTTTTGAATATTTGAAAACTCTTGAACATCTTGTATATAAAGATGGTCGAAATATGTCATAGTTACATTTCAAATATCTAAAAAAAATGGAGAAAAGTCATGCACCAAACGAAGTTCATGCAATCAGGAGCGGCCGAGAGAAAATGAAGTAATTGTGGTTCCTTGACTTTTTCTCTTATTTTCGCTGATTTTTATTCTTTTAAAGTTCAAATGGCCATCATGATTGACCGATACTATTTTTCTACTAGAAGATTATGTATATTTTGGGCTAATGAAATAGACAGGCATTTAATAAGTAAACCAACGTTCAATTGAAAGAGTTGATCAAGGAAGTTGAAGAATTTATGTGGCTATCCCTATTCTTTAATGCACCTGTTGGCTCTGAGGATAAACCTTCAATTAGAGTCCAGAAAATCAAAGGAATCTTACTCTAAGATAAATAGGGCTTGAATAGCATTCTGAAGGTTCCAGTAGATCGTGTGAGTTCGTAGGATCGACTAGGAAAATGTGAAGGGTGGGTGTAGGTGCAGATGTGAGTTAAGATAAGACGAACAACAGTCTCCACCCTCATCTCATCGCTACACGCACCCACTGAAGAAACATTCAAAGAATGATATTTTCAAAAATGTTTGTTCCTCTTTGGATGCGGTTTCTGGACAGATACACATAATCGATCACTACAGGCTTAGTAACTTTCTAGGTACTGCTAAATGGAAGGTATTCTTCCATGTCTTTGAATTTACATCATAGTACTCTTTAGTAACATGGAAAGATCAGCATTTGCACATTGCAGGATGCTAGTTGTTATCATTAATGCATTAGGGAATATCTTTGAATCCAAGAACATAATTGATGCATCTATTTGCAAAGTTGATGATTCACGTTGCAAGATACCGCCATGTTCTTTCAAATCTGATTGCACCAAAATGATCCTTAGCATAGACTATATAAATGGAAGAATTTTACGAAACGAAGGAGTACACAATTGGTTCGAAGAATTCCGTAATTTTCGTGCAAAGCTATAACTTTCATTTCGAGCTTCCAACACAATATATGTATCATTGTTGGTGATTGCCAAAGAAAAATCTCGACTGGACTCTCTCTATATGTGGTCGATTTTTTTTTGGCAAATCAATAGGACAATCTAGCACAATCTTTAGAAGACACATAAGTTCATGTGAATTCACCTTTGTAGGAATTGTGGGTGTTTACAAAATGTCGATCGAGAACGGAAATGCTCGTTCAAAGACTCGTAACTTGAATCCCACGTCATTGAGACATATTTCACAAGTTGTGTTTGTGTAAAAGAACTTTCTAAAATCATTCTTCTAAGCCGATTAATTTCTAAAGATAGCGTATCAAGTCTATCGCAATCCAATGCAAGAGTTTCAAGATGAAGTCCTTTGCAACATTTCATAGATTAGTCATTTTTCTGAATGTGACTCGATAGTTTTTCATTGTAACTAACTTTTCTTCACCAGTTTCTGAAAGAGAATCTTTATCAGAAATTGAACAAGGAACTTATAAAGCAAGTTGTTAGTCTTTCTTGTTATCATCATTTTTTCTTGAAGAGGAAGAAATTTATTTTTTGATGTCTGCGTTTTTGATAAGCGATTTAAATGATTATCAGTGGTAATAGTTTTTGTTACAGATTCAATGTTTTTAGCTTCTAACACTAGAATGAACGTTATTTTAGTTTTTTGTTAGTGCCTGTTGCGTTGCTTGTTTCTGAATGAAGATCTTTTCGACGATGACCTCTTTATGGGTTGTGTCTTCTCCAATTATATATTGTAGATATCCATTTAGAGTCAACACATTTTTCATCAGGTACAATGTAGGTTGTGCATGTGAATAAGGGTACAGAGAAGACTCCCACTCATATCCATCACGAGACTAAATAAGGCCGCGTTTCGTGGAAAATATGTACTCCTTAAGGACTTTCAGTTTTTTAATACGATTGGACCTTGTAAACGGGTGAATTGTAATTCAACAGATTTTGAAATTGATATCAACTGAAAATACTTTCGATTGAAATGACTTTGAAACATTCATTATCCAAAAATCTAAAAAACGAAAGTGCAAAAGTTCTTGATTCCTAAAAAGATAAAAAGCATCCGAATAATGCGAGGACTCTATTTTGTCCTGATTTCAACATCTGTCAGGCCATCTATGCTTGCAGAAAAAAAACCATCAATATTTCAATCATGTTTTATGAGATGCTGATTCAATTATACTAAAGCTCGAGAGACTTTTTAGCTTTGCGGATAAAAATAAACAGCTACAAAAAATGAATCATTAGAAGTTCTGCAAACTCTAGATACAGTCTAGGAAAAATATCAAATGAATAATTATTTAAATATTTTTCTTATACCATGCATTTGGAGGTCCAAAAATGCATGCTGTCTGTGATGGTCTATGGAGGAAGAATGAGCCCAAGTTTCTTGCTTGTACTTTGAACACTCATTTCCAATAGTGTTTCAAAAAATAGCACAGTAGCAGGTCTACTAGTGCATAAGATGCTCCTTCAAAAAGAAGTGGCTTGTGTTCAGATGTTGATCATCTGTTCTTAGGTGCCAATTAATTTTGCTTTTTACCAACCTACCTTACATTTTTCACTCATCCATATGTGCTACTCTTTCTGACTGATTTCTTTTGCCCACGTGATATTATTCTTCATTTCGAACTTATTCGGATTGAATACTTACATTAGTTCTATTACCGTTGAGAATTGACAAACACATTCAGTAGTTTTAGCTCTTCTTTTTTCATCCCTAATAGGATGTAAATTATTGTTTCATGCGGCTAGTGAGACATTCTAGTTTCACATTGGTCACTTTAGTCTTTTTTGCCATAAATAATGCAAAATATACTCGTTTACTGCTAGGATTTCTGTATAAATCTATAACATGATAGAATTGTTGCTCACAAGGGAACATTCACACGTGTCGGAACGCTTTTAAGTCGAGATTTCGCGCATCTTGTAGTCCTTAGTGAACTATATCTACTATAAAAGAAGTTTGGGCTTCTGGCATATTCTTACCGAGATATCGACTTTTTTAGTAAATTTTTTCTATAGTATCCCAGTTTTGCACCCAAGGTATATTCTTGAATTTTGGTCTGAAAATTCGTGTACATTAATGCCTCAGCTAGACTAGCTTCTATAAAAAATTCAGAAGTTTTCGACAGAATCTCTCTGAGATAATAAACTTTCAAAAAATGCATACTATATATATTATTTATGAAAAATGATCTGCTTCTTGATAGTTCCATGTCTCGAAGAGACTTTGTCCAAGAGTGCTGAAACTTTCTGTGCAAGCTAGCCTAGCTGAGGCCTTTATGCACACAAAGTTTCAGATCAAAATTCAAAAATATAGCTTTGCTGCAAAACTGGAACACTATAAGGAAAATTTACTTAAAACTTGATATCTTGGCAAGAATATGTCAGAAACATGTTCCCTTGTCAGTTGTAATTCGTAAATCCTGTGTTCTCTTGAAAACGTCGAAGCTATTAAACTGTTCTAGAAAGATCTAATCGATGACCTTTTTTCTTTCGTGAAAATATGAAAATCATATTTTTTCATCCTATCAGAAGATCACTACTTTTAAGAATTGCCAAGGAAGAAACTATGAAAAAACTGAAAGTGCTAAATAAAAGAAGCATATTTAGTAAGAGAAGGTGTTCCGACGCAGTTTCTCTTGAATGAACTTCATCAAACACATAGATTTTGCAACTTTTTTATGTGATAGTCATGCTAAAGGTACAATGCATTAAATTTACAATAGATTCAGTCGAGAGTGATAGATAGAAACAAGAAAGTTCAACAATAAAATACAAAAACTCAAAATATGTCTATTCTTGTGCTTACGTAAGAGCTCATATCTGAGTAACCGTAAGCTAGCAACAACGAAGTTTAGACTGAACATTCACTATTCACAATCAGCTTTGCATATTATGACATATCATCGTTCATTTGGCTGATAGATCAACATACTCAAACAGTATATTTTCAAATACATAAACCTTGTCTATATCACATCCTAAAAATGGCAAGCGTTTTCTAGCAAAAATTCAAAAGAGGACTGAGATCAATTTGTCAAAGCACTACAAGGATACTGTGCGAAGCAAGCATATTTTTTAATCCTACTATCACTCATTATATTCATTTAGGTTCTACCACGACAACAACTACAACAAGTCTAGCTAAAACACTGGCAAGTACAATGTTTACTTTCATCCACCGTTCAATATCGAACGAGCACTTCAGATTATTTAGAATATTCGAATAAAACCTTTGTCTTGACTGTGCGTGCATTATATTATCATTATTTGAAATAACAGCTGTGATATTTTCTTCATAATCATTTATGTAGTTGAACGAACGTTTAATTGACAGTATTCAAATACTTTCAGATCATCGACCAAAAATATTATATTCTCATTTTACGACACATCAGTTGACACCTGAACGAATTATTCTTTCATTCTATTCATGTTCTCAATTTTTCCTCAGCGTACTTCCAGCCGCACCATATTCATTTAATATAACTAATAATAGAACAGAGTGGTTGTAGTGGCTATTCAGTTGGCATCTTTTCAACAAACGTGTTTTTCATCCAAATGAGTGATTTGTTCTAAGCTCGATATTTGAAGAGTATCTTTATGTTTAACTCCATTCATTTGCTCAGAGATCTTTGCTGATGCTATCGCATGACACACATTGCTTCGAACTGAGCGAAAACACTTGAATGGAACGCTACTTAGAACGATTCATTTATCAAGAGATCTTTGCTAATGTGATGGAATGACACAAATTGCTTTGAACTGAACGATATACTTCAATGAAACACTTCTTAGAAAGACTCATTTATCAAGAAATCTTTGTTAATGTGATTGAGTGACACATTTCGCGTCGAAGTGAGTAATATACTCGAATGAAATCATGGTTATAGATATT